TAACAAAAGAAGATTGTAATGAAGAGAATAGGAAAAAAGTCTGAAAACATTCGAAATAACAACATAATTAAAGGAATAGTGGAGTATGTGAAGAAACAACGAAAAGGTGCTGTGCATATGATATATTTAATGTATCGTTTGCATTATTTACTAACCCCCTGTATGATTTTGCACAAAATAATGAATTGGTTTCCCCTACTTGAGTTCTTGTTCAATACACATTTATCAAAATATATAGTCGACAGTGGAATAAGGACAGTAATGACAACGCCCATAAATCATTGTTAAAAACTAATAGACTACTGCATTTATAATGAAAGGTTTATTAATTCAAACACTAGTAAATCTTATTTTTTTTTACAAATTTAGGTTAATACATATGACATATCGTAAACACAGTTACGGAAATAATGATTCAGTATTTACATTTATGAACAAAGAGGTTAATACACAGTTGAAGATTTTAGGAAAATAGTAGTCTATCGTTGAAAACAGTTAAAAATATCCCATGTATTATGTTTAGAAATACAGCTATATTTCATAGGCTACATCAAAGACTGTTTTCATTCAGGCAATCATTGAAAACTAAGAAGCAATGAAAAGCTAAGTACAATGGAAGTTGGTCGCGCAATTTCGTGGATTGGTTGATGTTAGAAACTATCACCATTGGATGCCGGCTCAGTGGTCCAGTTGGTTCAGCGTTCGCGCGCGAGACCGAAGGCCCTGGGTTCGAATCCCGCCAGCAGGATCGTGGATGCGCACTTCTGAGGAGTCCCACAATAGGACGAAACGGCCGTCCAGTGCCTCCAGGTTTTCAGTTGTGATGGTCTAACATCAATTGGTTCAAAATCTCAATCAAAAAGCTATTTTATTATAGCACTATAGAACTCTTAAATATTTTGTATCCACAATCACACTGAAGATTGAAATCATGATGTTCGGATTTTGCATTGAACACTTAACCGTTCAACCGCTGAGCTAGAAACCATTAGTCTATCACCTGATGATGGATGAGTACTTCTGAGAAGTTGTACAATAGGTTTTATAGTTTCTGACAGTTTTCTAGCCAAGATCAGTCTTTAATTTAAAATTTTCCAATATCCACAAATCCTCTATACTAATTATACAGTTAAAGTTGACGAGGCGTTTGCAAAAAAACTGGTCACATTGTTTCATAATTAGAATGGAATGTGAAAATCTGTTTTCATTATTAATATGTAGCTGCTATTATTAGTAGTCACTGATATTAATTAATATGTATAAGAGAATTGCGAACTGTCATCTGATATGACCGCCAATTTTTATAATTATTTATCACTATGTAGCCCTTCACGTACACACACACACACACATACAAGCACCGAACATGAGTTTGAAATTAGAGAAGAGTATGTAAGCCGAAAGTGTATGAATCAACCTTGCTATTAAATCTTATTGAAAATTAAAAGTGAATCTAATGATAACAAATCCTTTTTTTTGCACATAGCTTCTCTGTCATAAATGACACCCACTTGTTTTTCTATTTTATAGCTGTCAGCATCTGAAGAGATTCGAAGAAATGGAAATGAATTCATGAGTTATTCTGGTACGATAGTTGTTGTTGTTATTATTCTGATTCAATTTTATATGTTGGTGGGGGCGGGTGAATATACCAAATTATTAACAGTAAAAACAGTTATTTGTGTTAAAGAAAGTAAAAACTAAGATTAGTGCAAAATAATATGAATTCATTTTATTCCATTAGGTTCTCATCACCTGCTTATAACCTACAACATTTAGAATTCGTTGTTCTTTAAACACCCTTTCATATTCATTAATTTCTCTTTTGGTCCAATTCAAAGAATAATTCTCGAAAAGTCTAAGATCAAATGGGACAAAAGCAATCAGCAATGAGTACTTTTTGAGATGATGAAGAAGAGGTGTAGTTAAGGAGGCTGGTTTTAGTGGAGTAGTATTCTTTGATTTAGATGATTAGATTATAAAGCTTTTATTGTTTTTCTAGAGAAAAACTTATATTTGAAGTTTATACTGGTTCTGTTGAAGCTGAAGTAAAGAAAACGATGGAATCTTATTTGATAATGTTAGAATAATGTGGTGAGGAAATATCTAATTATTTAGAGTATCAGGGACCTGTGACATTTGCTTCTTCTTCAAGTGACAATGAATCAAATTTTATGATATTGTATAACTAGGTCTATTCACTAAATTACTATTTCACTAATGTCAAGCACTATTCAGTTTAATTTACACAAACCAAACAGGTATTTAGTTAAAATCACTTAAAAACTAGTGTATTCAAATATTCATTTTGAACGACAACTGAATCCTCATCTACCATCTTATCATTCTTATTTGAGTATCACGAGTTTACTGTCTCCAGTAGCACGTACAAGTATTATGCAAGTACAACAGTGCTGATAAAAATAGCCAAAAACACCGTATTTTAAAAATGAAATTACCTCCACAAGTAAAAAAAATACACCTCAAACAAAAAACTATTTATTCATCTAAAGATAAAACAAACTAATCATTGTTACTACTCAGTTTAAAACGTCATTCATTCACTGATAACGACGTCTAGATTTTAATGAAAAGGTGTTATATTCAGAATCCAATTATCTTGAGAATAAGCCAGTTGCTCAAAAGATTAGAATTTGGGAGAACTCAAAGAGTGGATACAACTGCACCATTTCAAACGACTTTGAGCCATGTCATTCAAGGTCTCCAACCATCGGTTGATATCGTCTCGCGGATCTCAACCAGATAGTCTACACCTACCAACATGGGTCAGTTTACTTGTCACTAACTTCATAGATTTGTGCCATGTTTTGTTCTGGCCGCTCCTAACTTTCTTTCAACCTACTCTTACAACATAAAACATCACACGTCGAGGCAGTCGGTAATTGGGTATACGTAACACATGTTCCAGCCATTTCAATTGATGAAGTTTCACTACTTCATCAATTGATTTGCCATCCTAACCTAGTGATCGTTTCTTAACAACTGTTCCAGGATATACGAGCAATGCTTCGAAGACACCTATGATCGAATACTAGTAACTCTACTCTTACCGGCCATATTTCACTGCCGTAAAGTAGGACGGGATGAACAGCTGCTCAGTAAACCCATCCTTTGGCTGGTAGACGAATATCTCGCTTACGCCATAAATGACGCTAGTTAGAAAGTGCTAGTCGAGCCTTTTATATCCATGCTGAGATTTTCTCACATACCAGACTACACGGGCTGATGGGATTCTCAAGATAAGTGAAGATATTAGTGACATAACATGATATGACGAACAAGAATTAGGCTTTATTCAACCTGCTGCTTTACCAACCCATAAAATTCCACTCCATAAAAATGACTTAAAAGAGCATAAATATTTGTTAAAATTTCTATCATGTATTGAATGATGAGTTGAAGTCATTATTCTTTCAGTCCATGTGATCACTGGTTAAAATATTTCTCAATAGACAAGAAGATATACATCATGCACATATTATGAAATCAGACCTAATAATCATTTAAACAGAATGTTGCTATAGCAACTACCATTTTTACACGTTCATGTGATTTATCCTTACTTTTAGACAAATGAATTATTATATTCGTCCTAGTCATTTTGTCATTCAAATGTGACCTTGAGCATGTATGTATAATAGTAAGTATGTCTATATGATAGCTTGTATTTTTCATGCTTATAAACGTTGGATCACGGTTTGCTTAAATGGCGTTGGTACGTTTACCATTTTTGCTTCGCTTCCCCTCTTGCTGTCTGTCTGAATAAATGAATGTCTGAGATAAGTTCATCCAATCTAATATGTATTTGACTTTTTATTACCACCTAGTTGGAGTTAGCCTAAGTTAAACATACGAAATCAAATACAATTGAAATTCATGGCCCATTTATGGTTCGTTCATAAATTTGATCATTAGTGAAGTTAGAATGTGGGCCTAGATATTAGAGATGAAAGATTAAGTTCACTCAACATTACAGTGATTACAAGTAATCATACAAAAGAGTGAATGAAGAATTCCAAAATAATGAATTAAGGTTTCATAATGTTTAACTGAGTTTACGGTACATACAACAAATCAACCTCCTCAATCCAAGTATCAAACCACCGCACGAGAACTATTGATGTTTTTATGTTTTATATTTTATGTTCTACTCCCACATACAAGATTGTGATTGCTTACTGCTGAAGAGTCCTATATTATGACGAAACGGACATCTATTGCTTCCAGGTTTTCAATGGTGAACTAGCTTAGATCAACTCATGAATTCAACTGTGAAAATACTATAATCTTCACAAATCCACATATTGATATTAGAGTAAGTCTATTAACAATTTAATTGAAAACAATTTTGTTCACATATATCTGTATTGTTCTAATAGTTGAAACAATCAGTCTGTCAGTCAGTAACAACGGAGAACGTCGTACGTACGTACATCAGTTCGAGTTGCCATACCACATTAGAACAGAGATACAATTGTAGATTCAAATCCCGTAGTGGTAGAGGTGGTAAGAGTATAACCAGTAATCGGATGCATTAGGGTCTGAAGATGTTCTTCAAAGAGTATAATTCAATGAAATAAATTTGGAAAAAAAACAAAGGACATGAAGAGCTCAGAAGATTAGAATTCGGGAGAACTCAAAGAGTGGATACAATTGCACCATTTCAAACGATTTCGAGCCATGTCATTCAAGGTCTCTAACCATCGGTTGCTATCACCTCGCGGATCCCAACAAGATATTCTACAGCTACCAACATGGGTCAGTTTACTTGTCACTAACTTCATGGATTTGTGCCATGTTTTATTCTGGCCGCCTTTAGCTTTCTTCCAACCTACTCCTACACCATAAAACATCACACGTCAAGGCAGTCGGTGATTGGGTATACGTAACACATGTTCCAGCCAGTAGTCGAATTTCAGATCACACATAGATTTTAACCATAATTATTCATAAAATCATATTTAATCACTTATACTTACTAGGAGATTGTGAAGAATATAAATTATTCGTATAATTTGATCGTTCTGCAAGATATAAATTCATATCAGAATTCATTTGATGATCAGGTAATTGTTTTAATGAATTCTCTATAGTCGAATTATGATCTTCATTAGGATGATTTAAATTGGAATGAAAAAATTGTTGTTGTTTATAATAAGGGCTAATCATTTGTCCTATAGGTAATGAATATTTTTGTAAATGATTAATAGATGCTAATGAATTTTGTAATGAATTCATTGGTTGATGTGATGTACTAGAATAATGTAATGATCCATTATTTTTAATTTGACTATTTTGAAACATATCTGGATCATACATTTTAGTATGACGTTGACTTAAATATAAATGACGTAGTCGAATACACCAAAATATAATAACACCTAGAAATAAAGAGAGAAGAAAATAGAGAAATAGAACTACTTAATGTGTAATAAATTCCTTATATAAAAATAATCTCAATGGTTAAGATCATGAGTTAGTTGAAGCTAAACCATCATGGAAAACCTGGAAGCACTGGAGACCCACAATAGGACGAAACGGTTGTTCAATGCTTCCAGGTTTCCCATGATGGTCTAGCTTCAATTGACTCATGATCTTAACCATTGAAATTACTATAATATCCACAAAACTCATCTGATAAAAATAATCGTTGAATACAGAAGTGACTGTAGATTTTTGTGGAACATATGAATTGTAGCTAGAAATGGAGTTCAATTTGAACGTTTCGTCTCATATAGGAGTTGTCATCTGAGCATACCTGCTAATTTATAGTGTTTATATTCACATTGAAACTTGCAATAAGTACTCGTTTTTTTTAAACTCTCAAGATGTTACTCAATGAGCTACTGGGTTTTAGTATCAAAGTGAATATCAACACGGGGAATAAACGGCTACATCCAAATGACAGATCCTAGCCAGGACAAAACGACGTCTACTCCGGAACTTCGTCTAACTATACTCCACCTTTACTTAATAACTTATAACAAAACGGCTATATTCTGACAATCTATAGAGAATTCATACATGCTAAAACAAACTAATCAAAATCTAATCTTAAATATCAACAGTGAGATAACTGAAACAAACCGTTAATCGTAATCAAAAGCATTAGAAGCAAAGATGGATAGTGGCTAGTAGTGGAATCCAGGACGCGCGTTTCATCCTATTTGGGACTCGTCATCTGGAAGTATCTACATCGCGGAGTTGATGTTCACTCTGGGACTCGAATGCAGTACCGCTCGATTCAAACGCCATCGCGTTATCCACTCAGCTACTGAATCCTGATAGTCACTTGCTTGTGCAGGTGATACCCAATTATACTCGAAATTAATCAATGTTCTGGAAGAATGTTTTGTGAAATTAAGTCATTTCTTAACAGCAAGTACAGTTAAAAACAGTTATTTCAACTAAAACTGTGTACATGTTAAGTAATATTGAAGTAGGAAAATTCGATTAACCAAAGTGAATCACAATAACAGATGCATAAAATTTGTTTTTATTTATTGTAAATCTAATTATAGTTATTTTGTCATATAGTAAAAAGTAGTCCATTTAGGGTTTATGTTCTACCATACTTGAAATTAGTCACTTTCCCACTAATAAGATTCAACAGTTGTCGTTTTATATTATAAACTGATTGATATTAGAAATGTGAACTGTTGGATGCAAAAATCATCAATTTAAGTCATTATGATTGTCTCAGTAACTAATATTCAAGTGTTTGACTTGGTTTACTGTTATAAGTGCTCTCCACTAAAGAATTTCATAGCTATCTAATAGTTCATAGGTTTTCTTGATTATCAAGCTAATTTTATTTTATGTAGAAACTGTTTCTTAAATTGTTCTAGTCTTTATAAATCTCTTAATCGAAATTATAGAAACTCATTTTTCTTGTGGGCGAACTTTATATCACTAGAAAGTTGTATTCCTTATTCTGAATGTAAGTAACTAATATTTGTATTCATTGAAACTAACTTCAAAAGGTCTACATTATATGTATATATGAACTTCGAATCGGTTACCAGAATGATGATTTATTTTTCTAGGTTGAGTGACTTTATATCATGCTATCTAATATGTTTATGATTTCGGAAGGGTAATATTTGTTAGCTTAACGTTACAGAGCACTTCAATATCGAGAAGATTTAATATGGAAATTTATAAATTTCTCTTTTATTTCCCTGAAGCATGTTGAAATTAAATGGTTGAATTCATGAGTTAATTGAAGCTAGACCATCATAGAAAACCTGGAAGCACTGAACGGCCGTTTCGTCCCAATGTGGGATTCGTCAGCAGTGCTCATCCACGATCCCCCTCGCGGGACTCGAACCTAGGGCCTTCGGTTTCGCGCGCAAACGCTTAATCTCCACAACCCATACTGATAAATATTTAAATAATGTTAGAAAATATTAAAACTATTATTGATCTGGACATTCAAATTATATTACATCAGCATTTTTACAACAATAAAACATTATTATAACAATAATGATAAACGGTAAACCGTGTAAAAATACGTACAAAGTCTGTAAGACAAACTTCATAATTTCTTTTGTTAATTACTTTCAATAATCATTAGTGTGTATATCAGTCTAATTTGAAAATTTAATAATAACTTAACAATAAGTATCTTGATCTATCATGATCTCATTTAGTGTGATGAAACAAATCATGAATAAGATGTTTCAGTGATTTCTAAAAAGGGAGATATTTCAATGAAGAAAAAACAATGGATCTGGGCTTTACAGTCGCGTCAATGGTGAGTGCACAACCTTTTCAAGGTAACAAACAATTATCAAAATATAGTTAAGAATTAATTTTGAGCATTAGTATTGTAAGTTAGCGTAAAGGTTTTTGGACATCAGTTGTAACACCAGTATACTCAAATGTATATCCCAAGTCCAAGTCTGTGTGTAATAAGCTCCCCTAACTTCTATTTGACTTAATAAGATAAGATCTCAAAATTATTCAATAGTATGGTTCAGCTTTATGTAAGGAAACGTGACAGATGACATTTAGCAATTCATAAATGACTTTAGCAAGATAAAGTTATTTTTTAGCGGATCAAGATGTGGAGGATTTTTCACCCAAAAATTCAAATCGATTAAAGTTAAAATGTAAAGTTCAGATCAGAGTAAGTAGTTGGGCTTAGAGTGAGAGAATTGACGAATAGTTATAAAGATAAATCATTGATATCAAAGATCAAGAAAATTATTAATTATTTAGAAAAATCCATAAACACATCTCAAACTTTAATGAGAAATTTCAATTAAAGTTGTTTTTGATGGGGTTTTGTTCTCTGAGCTCAGAGAACAAAGCTCCATCGAAATCATCCACCTGAGCTACAAATCTTCTCCACCATCTCTATTCGAGTTGTTTTCTAACATTTTTTCGCAGTTAATAAATTAGTTCCATCATATCTCTTCATTAGTTGCAATAGTTCATTTATGTTTTCTTGATATTGCCAGGTTTATCAATTTTAATCTTTTCAGGAGCATAATATTTCTATGTATTGTTCATTTTTTTTACTCAGATGTTAATAAAATACAATTTGCTCGCCAGTAAAATACACTTTTGTTCTTATTTCATAAGCATAGTCTAATTCCATCATTATCCAACTCTATTTATGATGCTTGTTACTGAATGGAAATACTGAGCCAGTAGGTATAGAATGTACATATTCTAAAAGAAACTGATCAACTTTAATCTTAAACATCAATGGAAAGATTCAAACAACTTATACAAATGATACGTCATCTTTAACTTTCAACTAACGGTTAAAACACTTATATACCAAAGAAAAATTAATTTTATGACTAAATGACCAAGAAAAGCATCACTAGCATCGACATACAATTACAGGAATGATTTTTATGTAAGAGGTGAATTGTGATTAATAGCGGAATATAGAATAAGAAATTAGGAAAAAACGATGGAAATGGATAAGGCATACATTACGTAAATCATCAAACTACATCACGAGGCGAGCTCGACCTTGGAATCCTGAAGGGAAGCGGAAAAGAGGAAGGCCAAAGAACACATTACGTCGGGAAATAGAAGCAGATATGAAAAAGATGAATAACAACTGGAAAGAGCTGGAAAGGATTGCCCAGGACAGGGTTGGATGGAGAATGCTGGTGAGCGGCCTATGCTCCTTTACGAAGAGTAACAGGCATAAGTAAGTAAGTGTAATCTAGTGTTCTGCCTTATTTAGGACAAGTCAGTTTGATGTATTTGGATTCTGAAGTTGATAAACACCTACGAGAATCGAACACGGAGCCTTTCTCATCAAAATTATAAAAAAAATACTAGATCCCACTACTGAGTTATAAAGCATCTCTCTAATAAAACTTGTGAAAAATGACTATGTTGAAATAATCCTTATAGGGTATACTTATGCTAACTGAAACTAATCAAAATTCAGTTAAAGAATATCAGTAACACGATATAACAGAAACCTTTATTAATTAAATATAACATTGTTATAATAACTATAGTAGCATTTATATGGAATACATCAGTTGTAGTTAACATTGGAATACAGAATAAGTGTTTTGCCTTATCTAGAACATGTCAGTTGGACATAAATGGCACAATTCTATGCTGATTTTCATAGTAAGGAATTAAACAAAGTACTATTTAACAGATTGAAATCATGAGTCAATTGAAGCTAGATGTGCACTGCTGAGGAGCCCCACAATAGAACGAAACGGCCGCCCAGTGCTTCCAGGTTTTCCATGGTGGTGTAGCTTCAATTAACTCATGATTTCAATCAGTGAAATTTCTAAAATCTCCACAAACCCCTTCTGAAAATACTATTCACTTCAAATTTTCAACGAATCATCCACCAAGCTATTGATTTTCAATAAACATGAACAAATGTGATATTTCTTGATCATTATCAATGAATGTGCTAATTATTAAGTTATTATTCAGGACCGTTTTTCGTTAAATTTTTATCTATTGGCATATGGTACATTCATTATACATTGATAAACGCTAATAAGCATAGAAATTCTTATTTTTTTCTTGCATAAAATATTATAGACAAGTGAATTTTTTGGATCGTAATAAATTCATGTTATTCTTATCATGATCATTAGCAGTAGTAGTAGTAGTAGTAGTAGTAGTATGGTGTATGCTATTTTTGTTGACAGACATAAGTAGTATGTAGTACCAATTAGAATTCGAATGCCTGAAAACAGCATATTGACAAGATTGAATTGAAGAGAACAAGAATGTATCACAAAGAGTAATTTTAATAAAAAGAAAGGATAAAGGAACAATAAATTTTATAAGAGACAATTGATAGATGTGCAAATGATGTATTTAATATATCGTTTTCAAATTTTACGAAGACATTGTAGTTTTTTATTGATCA